TTAAGGTGTACTTAAAGTACAATATTACAACTTTAGAAAATAAATATTTTAGTGGCGAAGTCAATAATATGTTCTGACTATTGTTAATTAAAGTTTTAGTTGAGCAAACAAAAAATTCTGGAAACAAAGTGATCCCTCGGAAGCATTAATCACAACAAAATTACATAAGAATTGCAGACTCGGTTTGATTGAGTCTGTACATGAGGGATAATGAATAAGTGCAACATTCCTCACGCCACCTAGCACCGGCTTGAGCGGTACTCATTTCTCAACACTTAATAGGGCTGGCATCACTGATCCCGAAGGACCAGAAAATATAACAACACTGAAGTTAAGTACAGGGCAACTTTTTAAAGCTCATTTTCAGTCTTTTAATTTTAATTTCGGTCAAAAGTATGCAATGACCATATGTATACTCCGTAGGTCATTTTTCAAACATGTTTGTAGTCAGTTCTTTTCTATTTTTTTTAGGTCAAGAGAATTTTCTCATTTATTTGTCATTTTTATCTAAGATTTTAAAACTTATTCACTTATAAGCAAGCTAAGACAAATTATTTAACTTCTGAATTTTATGAAACCTAAATAATTACTTATGTTAATATAATCCAAGGCAAATAGGCATACCTTGCGGTGCGTTAAATTTCATTCTGTATTTAGATAAAGGTAAACCTGAGTTTTGTATTGGAAATTATTTTGCTCGGTCTATTTAAATTTTTTTAAGAAAACTATATAATAAAGATCATCTAGGATAAACAGCAAAGCCGCGGATAAATTGTTCTTTGCTGTAACGAACCGTCGTCTTCACGTCTATAAGAAGATACTAGTACTTTTGAAAAAAAAACAACAACGAAAATTGTATCTGACTTATACGACGATTAAGCACTTACATATAAATAAATAAACACATTTAAAAGTAAATAAATCCAATTAATCAAACTGAAAATAAATGAATGGTTTTGTTGAAAATATAAAACTATAAAAAAAATTCTATGGCCATTAGGCAGTGGAAGGTGTTCGCACGGTTTTTTTTGTGCACTCTCCTCAATCGGACAGAATTCACTCATTATAAACGATGTTAAAACTGACATCTTTAATATTCATACGGCCAAATCGATTATGTCTGATCAAAGTCGTTGAACATTCACACAGACTCTGAACATGTATTGCGTTAATGTTATATGGATATGGAAATTTGGTAAGGTAAGTTTCCCAACGCAATCCGTATCCAGTATAATACATCCACCAAAACTTCAGCATTTGCATTCGAAACAAGAACTAATGATAAGAAAAATATGACTGCCTACCAGCAGTTTTGTTACAAAGTGAATGTAGTGTTTGTTTTCTGGTCTGAATGTCAGAAAATAATTTTCTCTGTGCCGGTTTCTTAACATCACATACGAACTGCTAAATGTTTCTTCGGAAAAACAATTTACTGCTAGAACAAACACTATCTTTGTTCCAGAAAATTGCCATTCAATTTGTTTTCCTTAGTTTTCGGTAAACTCAATTTACTTCCGAGTTGCGCAATCAAGTTCACAATAACTATTCGCATTTCCATAGTGTCCTTTTAGCGGCAGTAAAAGTATCACCAGTTCTGATGCAAGATTGACTTAATCTCTTATATTTAGCTCGACTATCCGAAGAATAGGGAAAGCTATTGCAGAAATCTAGGCGTTGATGTAGGCGCCGGCATCACACTTTGGTTAGGTATTCTGAAAGGAATGGGTTTAAACTTTACATACTTATTTGGGAGAATTATAGGAGGACTCTATCCAAGGTAAATGCTCTGATGTAGATTTTGACAGAACTATTTCCCTTTTAGAATCTGAAATTTCTACATAATCTAGGCTTTTGTTTTACCATCAAGCAATGTGAATAGTTGAACACGCTCCTGTTTCGAAGAAAACCTTTTAATATATTCACTGGTACTGCAGAAGGCTACAGTTATTTAAGGTAATCTCTTACAGACGTAAGAATAGCACTGCTATGTTAATAATCTTGAGTTAAAAATAACTTTTTGTGTATTGGACGGCTGGATTCCATACTAGTTGTGTGTCTTTCTTGTTTATAATCTAAATAATCTAACTTCATAATACTGTGCTGTGTTTGTAATTGGTAATTACAAATACTAGGTCTTAACATTGTCTCAATTTAAATTAGGGATTATGATTTTTATCAACCGATCGATTCACAAATCAAGTAGGTATAGACCTAACTGATTTTCAGAAAATACAAACATACTAGTCCAAGATAAGGAGATAAAAGCGTTGTTTAAAAGATATATTCAACATAAACTTATTTCTGAAAGGAGAATTTTAATGCATAGTGAATTGATAGTGATGGATTACATCAAATTTATTATTCAGATAAGTTCACTGATAAAGTTATTACAAAACTAAACGGAAAATGGGTTTGCTTCTCAAACTTAAAGAGCTTTTTTGTTATGATTGCATACCGATTTGATTATGATATTTTGTTTTGCGGACTTCACAAAATGGAAAATGATTGGAGATATTGTTAAAGAGAATATTTATATATATAAATCAAACAGGTAATTAATTCAATTTTGAATACTCCATTATGTACTGATATTTATATCCACACCAAACATAGTTGGTGGATTGGGCTGAGGGCGCTATATAGGCCGTCCTGTCCCGTCCCGTCTCGTTATGTCCCGTCCCGTCACATTTTGGAAACCGGTAGAGATATTACTTTGCAACTAAGCCCATCAAAGTAATATCATAAATAATGTCTTTGTCAAGTTTCATACTTTGATAGTTAGATTTACGAAATTATGCCCTTTTTATTAACTTAGACAATATCCCCAAAATGTACCAAAGTGACTATTGCTTTATTATTAATGAATTTCCTACTTGGACACATCAATTCTTTGGAACGTTCCTACAAGATGACCAGACTGGCCTTGGGTCAAAAAATGACCTTGAAATTCAATGTTGAATTATTGAATTTTGCATATGTTTGCTATAACTGGCTAGAAATTTGTTATCATTTATGTATGGCCTGTCTTCATATTTACACACAACAACATTTAGGACAAGACCTTTATGAAGATTAAAATAACTTTAAACAATAATCTTATATGACTGGATGTTATTATTCATTTGTGTAGATTGATGGTAAATATATATGAACATATAAATGCAAAACATAAAGATTCAAAATAACTTAAACATAATTTTATGACTTATGCTGTTTACTTTATCAAGTAATTTCAAGATTGAAGTAAAAAACTTATATTAGTGTTGGACTTTTAATAAAAAATGACAAAAAATATAAATGGCAAAATAACCAAGTCATAATTTGAATTGCTTCATCCTGGACAAACAGATCATGAGGATAGACCGTCAAGATTTACAAATCTTGAGACATTTAATAAAAATATTATTGTGTTATTTTCTAACTAAGAATATCACAAATAATAGATTAAACTTAACTTAGAAAAATAATTCTTAATACAAAAATAAGATAACCCAAATGAGACAATCAGAAATCGAAAAATCAATTATTTATCTGCTGTAATGTTTAAATAAATATAAGTTTAATGAAATAAATCTAAAACCTCTAATCATCACAACCAACTGCGTGATAGTTTTGAAAGCTCATAGTAGTTTGAATTAGTTCCTTTTTTACTCGAATTGTCGATTTTGTGTACTTTGATATCTCCTCTTTTAATAAAGTGGCTATAGTTTTGTAATTTATGAATGAATTGTCCTCATACATAAACACAACAGTCCTTAGGGAAAGACCCTTACATTGATCCTGATTCATAAATGACCATAACTTTCCAAGCCCAGTTATTGATTTTTTTATAGGAATTGTGATGTAACTGGCTACAATGTTTTATTATTATACGTCCCATCCAATCTTAAAAACCGGTAGAAAAATTAACTTGAACTTGAAACATCAATGCATTATCACAATGCACTGTGTGTTTTAAGTTTGATAACTCTGATAGGAAGTGATAGTTCTAGTTGACAAAAGTAATCGGCTAGGAACTGTTTCAAGAACAATAGATTTTTTTCGATGACCTTTCATGTGTTCTAATGAAAACTGTCGATATTCTTCCAGAGATGAAAAATCTTTAAAAAAACATTTTTATACCTAAAATAAAAGAATGAGCTGTACAAATAAATTTAACGATAATGGTTGCCAAATATTTTGTGATTTACGTCGGGAAAAACTATATAGGTGTAGGGTGACATCTGTGAATTCAAGATATATTCAGTAATATTTTAAATTCATCAGCATTTCTAACCGTGTACACCTGAACATTCATAGTGTCTTCTAGAAAATATAAAGTTGTATCATTTTATGTAATAAATGTAAATCCATTGTTTAGATTGTTCAGTCCTATGTTCTTAAAGCAGATGCAACTGAAAACGTTTGTCTGTGGTGTAGCTTTTAAAAATATACCCTTTAGGAAATTACTAATACCATCAGGAAGAAATACTCCATCTTAAGTGTAACAGTTTTTTCTCTATCATGATAGTTTTTCTTGCTTAAGTACTAATTAATCAATTTAGCCAACTCAAATAGTGAAATAAATAAACAATACAGAAGATATAAAAATCATTTTATTGACACAGTCCGTTAAATAAGTTTACCATTTTTGAAAAAAAAAATAACAAAGTAGTCATTAGTTCGTTTACTTGATATCAATTTACCCTTAAGATCAACACACAAATTATCAGTGTCTGTTGCATTTGTATTACAATGCGTTTTAACAACAAGATAAACGACGAATGAAACGTTATTATAGGACTACCGGTATATTATTAGATAAAGATAAGGTTATAAGGTTTACTTGAAGTATAAATCTTCTATTTTAAATTTAGAGCTTTTATCTCAAACTATGTGCAACTCAACATGTTTGAAACCCTTTAAATCATGTTCTTATCGAAAAATGGAAATACAAGCAACATTAGTTTTAAAAATGATTGATTACATTTACGTTATAATATTTTATTAATTCAGATTGTCTGAATCGTTCATCTAGCCGTGAATATGGAGGAAATCAAGAAGACACTAAGTCAGTATCCTTCAAACTTCAGTGTCAAAGAAACGATGGCTACTATGTCACGTAAAGAAATAAAAAAGATAAAAATCAAATTAGAGGTTGAACTGGAATCTTCTGAAAAAGAATTCAGCACGGACATGGAAAAGTTAAGAGTCGAAAATTTACTTTCGTTTCTTCATTTTTATCTAGGAGATCAAGAAAAGGCGACAAAGTTAAACGAAATAATTTTAGACAGACAACCCGAGAATATAATAGCTTTATCAAACAAAGCTTGGTTTTCTTTGCGAGACCATAAAAACATATTGCAGTGCAAAGAACTTTGTGAACGTCTCAAAACCATAAAGATCAAAAATGAATTGGCTTTTATAATCGCAAAAGCTGAGGTAGCATTTACTTATTCAAGACTAGGAATACGGAATTATAAGAAGGCTTCGTCAGAGTTCGGAAACGTTCTTCGAGATTGCGAGAAATTTAAAAAACTGGATAATGGATCGGACTCTGCTGCTTATTCAACTCCAGTTCAAGTTCCGACCGACTATGTTTGTGTGTGGATGCATCGGAAAGCCCTCTGTCAACGGAGACAGTCAAATTTGAATAACAATGATTAACTAGCAGATATTGAAGAAAAGAAAAAATATTACCATGTTACGCTAAACCTGTATATGGAGATAATTGAGTTAGAATGTTCTGAAAGCGATTGTATCAAGAGATACAAAGCGAGATCATATGTTGAAATTGGTTTTATTTCTTATGATGTCACTAGGAATCAATCCGTATTTCCAAATGGCATGGAAGAGTTTATGCCTACAAATTCACCATTTTTAATGTCTACGAGAGATTATTTTAGAAAAGCTCTTGAGTGTTATCCGGATGATGCATCTGTTCTTGAACAAAGCGGGAAGTACTTTCGATACATAAATGAACATGAAACATCAATGCATCTACTAACTCGAGCTATTCAAATCAAACCAACCTCTTTTGGTTATCATCACATCGCCCTGACGCTCAAAAGGCTGCTTGAATTAAACAAAGGGGCATTAGCTCGACATTTTCTAGAACTTCCTATGGACTGTAGAGATGGGATAAAGAACGTTTCACAACTGAGTATAAAACCCGAACGTTTTCGCAAAAGAGGTACTAATAAATCCTGCGATCCTTCGAGTCTGAAAAGCAAGTCTGGAATAAAATGTCCACAAAAACCAATCATTATAGATTACAATGAACATAAACCTGTTGTTGATAAAGTTATTGCGTATCCTGATAAATCATATGCAATGTCGTCAAACACGAATGCAATTTACGATAAAGCCATACTTTATAGGCAAATAAGTCAACCTGAAACTGCATTAAAGGTTTTAGAAGATTTATTACAGAACAATGATGAATTCAATACACGCATTATGCTTGCAAACATTTACGAGCAGTCCGCATTTTGTATAAGTGATATGTTACTCAACTCAAATGACGTCAAAATGAAAGAAAGAAGAGATATGTATGCAGTCAGGGACTTTTATTTAAAATCATCAATGGAGATTTCATGTGCTCTTATTGATAAGATTCCATCCCTCGAAAATGACTGGAAATCAGCTGCTACACTGAGGAATGTCCTATATGATAAATTAAAGACACAAAGATCGAAAGATACTCTTAAGGAACTATGGTATATTGAAAAAAAGCTCAATGAGCATTCCGATGCAATTGAAATACTTGGAGAATTGCAAACATTAGCCGATGACGAAGAAGAAGAAAAGGAATTTCTTGAAGGAACTGTCCAGCATCAAATTTCTAAAGAGAACTTTGAAGAGGCAGTAATCGCTCTTTGTATGTCTAAGCAAGTTACATATGGGCAACCACTTATTGATAAGAATCTGTACATTAAAGCTTACATCGAAGCTGGTATTGATGCTTTCAGACGAAAACATTATCAAAAGGGGAAAATGCGTATTGAAGAGGCGTTTAGGTTCGTGAGAGAATCTCAACAAACACAGGGAAATAGCGAAGCGTCTAATGGAACAAACAGAGATAAAGAAGAAAATGAATCATTCGACGTTTTCATTCTTTCAAACCTTGATGACGACGAAAATGGACAAAAACTTATGATGCTTTTAAACAGTATTGGACTCAAAACAACGTTCAATACAGATAGTCCAGCGATTAGTCCAGGTACACCGGAAGTACTTGGAATGACACACATAATGAGTCAGTCGAACGCTTTTGTAATTGTAAAAGACTTTGATACTGACAATACAAAAATGCAACATATTATTGATAGAATGCAAAACATTGTTGAATACAGGAACGACAAAACATTGATTTTAGTAGTGACACTACCAGAATCTACGGAAATACAACCTGGATCTATTTATGCAACGCAGAAAAAAATTACAATTGATCTTAAATCTGTATCAGAGGACTCATTTTTTACAGATGTACATTGCTTACCAGAGGGTGTCAAAAGTTTGTTAATGGCTCTTGCATCGGTATAAATAGCTAGCATGCTTTTGAATTGAAGCTCTTTGAAACTTGTACAGTTATGTACATATTTCTATAAATACATGTCCGTAGCAATATGTGCTAGATAACTATGAAAATTTAAATTGTATCTAGCTAGTTAAATGGGACTGGGTGATGTGCCTTAGTTTGTATGTTTGCCATTATTTGTCATAGTTGAAAAGTACATCGATGTGGACTAAAATTACGCGATAAAATAAGAGGAATGTTATTTTATTTTCGCACCATTTGCAGAGTGAACATTGTTATTGATACATCAATTCGTCGAAATAATGACAACTTCGTTGATTAATAGAGCCGATAGATAGTCAAATCGAGACGATGACGAAGCAAAAACATTAACCCTCTCCAAAAGGAAATAAATAAATAATAATTAAATGTAGAAAAGCAATATTGTACAGTTATCCCATTCGAGTAAGAACTGAGCACTTAACGAAAACAGTTCTGGGAAGTTATATGCTCAGGAACACTTGACAAACAATTTTCTTTTTCAAATGAAAAAACACGTAACTTAACAAACCAAACATCTGTAAAGCTGAAAACATTTTGAAGTTTCCAGACCATGTTAGGAGTCAAATATATGAGCATTCAACGAATGCATCCCTCATTTGATTTCACATTTGCTTGAATAAATGGCTGTAAAACGTTTCGAATATACTTAAAATAAAGAAAAACTTCATATAGTTCCAGTTGTATTAGGAACTTCAAATGTTATCATACACAATCTTTGTTCAGAAGGATATGTTAAGAAAATAGAAAAATAGATCGATTATGTTTATCAAAAGTTGAACTTTGAACTGAAAAAGCAGCAACAAAAGTTAAAATCGTGTTGAATGTTCCAGCATAACATTAAATAATATTATATTGCCTTGTTTGATGTTATACAACATGTCCAGTGGCATCGATGTGTAAATATATCGTAGAATTGGTATAGCAAAGCCAAAGTGACAATATCATTGATTTATTATTATGAAGACCGAATCAAAACGATAAAGAGTTTGTATTTTGTTGCACATGCTTCGCCGTATTTAAGCATAATACTTTCCGCCAAAGTGCCGAATTAAAAACTGAAATTCACCCGATGGCTGCAGGGATAATAATTAATACAAAATACAAATATATGTCAACTTGTCCAACAGATGATGTTCATTTGTACTCCTAACCATTTTACATGGACAAGTCCGTGTGTCATTTGCTGTAATAATTTTCTCGAACGTTCGCGTGGTATACAAGTGCTTGTGCGATATTTCTGGTGGCAAAGATTGCTTCGCAAATGGTTATTTTCTTTAAATCTCAGAAGTTAATGATTTCGTGAATTAAAAAAGATTTTGACATTTGATGTTGCTCTTGTCATATCACCAGGTACACAAAGAGTAATTGACACTTTCCCTGTAAAAGATGGTCTTCGTGCTGTTGAAAAAGATGGTCTTCGTGCTGTTAAGACTTGCATTGGAAAATCAGAAATGAGACCAATAACAAAAGGGTGTCCACTTATTAAAGATCTTTGAAAATATATAGTGCAGAAACTGCAAGGGCATACTAATCCCTTTATTTATTATCTGCCAACCATGGGAAAATATATTATTTTTTATGAAAAAGAAATACATTACTGGAAAACAGTAAAATTGCATAAAAATTAAAATGTCATACAAATAGTAAAATAGCATACAACTATCACACAATAATGAAATGGACTGATTTTAGTATGATAGATACTATTATTTTCATACATGTGTGTGATATTGGTCAACAGTTAAAATAGAAATGGATGTTATAATGTTTATGAAATAAGTTTGTGTCATGTCAGTGAAGTCTATTGTTATTTTATAAACAAATTAAATAGAAGCAAGCGATTTCAAACTCTAAAGGTTGTTAATTATTTTTTAGTGCTTTTTGAGGTAAAAGAGATGAAATATATCAAAGATCTTTGAAGACATTTTACATAGACATATATTTGGAATCAATAAGTATTAAGTTTTAAAATAATCAAGGCTTTAACATTCAAAGGATGTTCAATATGTTAGATGACCACACTATTTGTATTCATTTGTTGTAAACTTGGTTTCCAATTAAACCAGCCCATGTTATTATTTACATAATATTGTATTATATTACTGACGATGTACACATTTCATCTTCATAAATATGTTTGAAGAAATAAAGGTTTAAACTAAGATTTTAAGTTTATTGTAATGCTAAATATATAACTATGTTTAGTTTAATTGTGATAAGTAACTTTGTAGAATATATAGATACATTACATTCACTTAGCATGGCCTAATATATCATAGTTTTACTTTCATTTACAAGGGGTTTATACATTTTGAGATACAAGTTGTGGATTTAGCTTTTGTATTCGTTTGGAAGTATAATCCTATATAATAGAGGGAGTACACTCAGAGATTTGACATTCGGCTTAACAGAATTTTGTTTTGAAGAAGTAACATCTCTGAAAGCTCTCTAAGATTGATTAATTAATGGATCTTTTTTAGGCACTTTGGCATATATATGAACCTAAGATTTTTACTGAAACATGTCCGCCATTTCGTCGTACTTTAGTGTTATTGCCTGGGGCCTCGGGAAGCGAAAATACAAAACGCTACAAATCAGCCACTATAGTGTTGTCATTGACCTGTATGATTAAATCATTTAAACCACTATAACCGACAAATTAATATAGAACATTACATAATAGCAAATTAGATTATTCTTATTCCATTGTTAAAAACACACCACATTTTAATAGTTAAGTTAAGTCGGTTCGATTGATGTCCATTGTTTTTATTAATTTTGTAAACGTGGCATTGATACTGAATAAAACATCCTTTCCTCAACGGATTTATATTCCTAAGTTAATTTTCAGATAAAATTTATTTAGTCCAACTTAAGGTTAATTATCTAATTTCATTTTGAAATTTATAATCAAAACCAAGAACTCTTCTTAATTGTTAATTCTTTAAAAGTTCTTATCGCTAAAGGATTTCATTTGCCAAAATTAGTTTTCAAATCATCAACTTCGTGCAGCCAGATAGGACAACCGGAAGGCGTCCAGAAGGGCAGTGAAAAAAGAGGGCACAAGGGCAGAGAAAGGACGGGTCATATCCATTTCAGGTAATAAATAAAAATTAAGGTAAAGCCCCCTGATGCATCACCTCTACTTCGAAGAATGTTTAAATAGGCTACAAATACTCTCAAATTCATGGACACTTAGGGTCATGAGTTCAAACCCCAGTAAGGACAACTTATTTTTATTTTTTTAAAGTTTATCGATCTATAATGGAAGGCATTGTTGCAACCACTATTGAAATAAAACCACTATTGAAATAAATTATTTCAATAGTGGTTGCTAATTATTTCTCATAATAAGCTTCATAACCCACCACTATTGAAGTAATTTATTTCAATAGTGGTCGTAATAAACTTCATCATCAACCACTATTGAAATAATTTATTTCAATAGTGGTCGTAATAAAATTCATCACTAACCACTATTGAAATAATTTATCTTAATAGTGATGTTTATAATTACATGTATCCTTAATTGATTTATTTTAATATACAGGGGGTTTGAGTTGAAGTTCCGGTAATTTCCAATGTGTTAATTCTTGTACAAATAATTCACGATTTTCACATTATATATCAATAGAAAGAAAAAGGTAAAGAAAAGAATATGAAAACAATTCTATACATCATTCTACGAGATTTTTTTTTTATTTCTGCACAACAGTAAAAAATCCGAAAAGAGGTACGTTAAATTCATAGTCTCGGTTATAATTACTGTAAAATATAAGTCTTTAATACCTTTTATTTGCATTTTAATTTGCGTGAATTGGTTAAATATTTTGGCACACACGTGAATATTGTAACATTATACCATATTTCCTTTTAGTCTTGATTATTAATACCGTAAAATATGCAAGTATAATACCCACTTTTTATATCTGATATTGTTCGTTAGATAAAGTGTTTCTTGCGTTACAATAGTAATAACAAAGTAATATTTCTAAAAAATTCATTCTCGTCTACAATAAAAAAAATAATGAAACATTAGTCTTTAAAAGTGTCTGTAAAGTGACTCTTAAAATGAAATGCATCCCCAAATACTATTGATATAATTACTTCGATAGTAGTTGTATTTCAATAGTGGTTGCAAAGTGATTCTTCAAATGAAATAATCCCCAACCACTATTGAAATAATTTATTTCAATAGTGGTTTTATTTCAATAGTGGTTGCAACAAGGCATGTAACACAAAATAATATGGTTGATAGTATTTATATTAGAAATAATAACAACAAACTACGAATAATAAGGCAAGTGTAAGGTATATGATCCAATATTACCGTAAATATATTTAGCAAGCAGGTTATAAAATGGTCCAGCACAAAATGTTATTATTCATCATATAACACGCCCGGCAAACTGTCGCTCCACTTCAAAATTGTGGTGTACGGTAAAACGAGCGAACGGAATTTCCAAGATAGAGCGGAAGGCCGATTTAAACGGTTAATTGCAAGTATTGTAATTATTTTTGTCTTGTTATTCATTTAAGTTGTAGTTTTTCGAAAAACGGAAAATGTAGTTCCGTGTAGGATTGTTTTAGGCTTCCAATGATCTAAGCTCATACAAAAAGAAAGGTATATTTAGTCCGGAAGAACGACGATTTGTAAAGTATTGAACTTCCCAACCATAGAAATGCCACACCCTTCGGATTTCTTTAAAAAGTGTATTAGTAAAATATCACTCCTTAATAAGAACTTGTCCTTCGTGCAACATAAATTACTCCCGAAGGATTTCTTAAATTTGTAAATCGATATTTTTCGAAAGTAGTGGAGCCAAAGGGCAAGAGATGGAGCAAAATGTTCGATGTTGAGCGCAAGGTGATAATAATTTGACGTATTAGGAGGAGCGTAGTCGATGATTTATTATAAATAAAAGCTATAGAAATTAAAATAAACATGATCAAGTGTTGAGACCGAGATATATATACCTTTTAAAGACAGCTAATAAAGTGTGATATCCTAATAAATGTAATCGCGAAGGTGTCACCTATGGCTGCCGTGTAGATTCCATTATTTATGTTCCAGATTTGGATGAGGCCAGACCATTGAATCATACACATGTATGCATGGCGTAATACAGGATGCCACTTATTCGGGATCAATCATGATTTTGGCACGGTTATGTACATTTAAAAACGTGTAGCCGTGCAAATTCGACAAAATCGAATATTTTCAGTTCTACCGCGAACAAATGTTTACGAGTGTATAATTCAATGGTCTGGCCTCATCCAAATCTGGAACATAAATAATGGAATCTCTATGGCAACTATAGGTGACACCTTCGCGATTATATTTGTCACGCTATAGTTGTTGAAAGGATATCACATTTCATTAGTTGTATTTAAAAGGTATATATCTCGGTCTCAACACTTGATCATGTCTATTTTAACTTCTATAGCTTTTATTTATAATAAATCATAGACTACGCTCCTCCTAATACGTCAAATTAATATCGCCTTGCACTCAACATCGAACCTTTTGCTCCATCTCTTGCCCTTTGGCTCCACTGCTTTCGAAAAATATCGATTTACAAATTAAAGAAATCCTTCGGGAGTAATTTAAGTTGCTCGTTTTACCATACACCACAATTTTGAAGTGGAGCGACAGTTTGCCGGGCGTGATAAATGTTCATACTTAATTAACACGATAGTACATGTATCTTCTCAGTATTGTTAAACTATCAGTTGTGAAAAAACGAAGCCCCTTTTTCTGTCTGTAATTTTATTTTCGGTCAAAAGTAAACAATGGCAATATGTATACTCTGTAGGTCTATTTCAAACACGTTGTCGTCAGATCTTTTCTATGTTTTGTTTCGCTCATAAGCAATCTTCATGTCTTTGTCCTTTTCATCTTATTTTGAAACTTATATTCTGCTATTGACATGAAAACCTATCACGGTAAGTTCTGTTCATTACTTGACTAAAATGATTAACCCCAATGAAATGTATAAATTGACACATTATCAGTTCACCAAAAGCGAATTGAACACGTATTTTGAAATATATACGTAAAGTATACTAATAACACAGCTTAAGAAGGTGAAAATTTTTGTGGCTAAGCCAATAATATGTTTTCACTATGGTTAAATTTTAGTTGTTTTAGTTGTGAGAACGATGCCTCTGTTCTGTCTTTTAATTTAATTTTCGGTCGAAAGTATGCAATTGCCATAAGTATAGTCCGTAGGTCTATTTCGTCAGATCTTTTCTATATTTTATTTTGTTTAATAGAAATCTTCATGTGTTTGTCCTTTGCATCTAATTTTGAAACTTATATTACGTTTTATTTACTTATACACAAGCAAATACAAATAATTTATCTTCCATATTGTACTTGCAAAGCGTTTGTTTACTTCTATATTTAGATAAAGGTAAACCAGACAGAGTTAAGTACATGTACTATTTAAAAGTATTTTCCTCGGTCTATTTATAACTTTTGAGAAAACTAAACTATATGATGGATTCTTCAACAGTCATATGCTAGGATAAACAACAAATTGTTCAAGGCGAAGCTGTTTTTAGTTTTTTCTAAAACAAAGTTACTGCTTAAACCAACAGTTACTTTGTTAGTGAAAATGGCCATTCAATTTGCTAGCTTTAGTTTTCGATAAACTGAATTTACTACCGAGTTGCGCAATCAAGTTCACTTCAACTTTTCGTATTTCTATGGTGTTCTGTTTTATGCAGTTAAAATGTCGCCTGTTCTGATGCAAAATTGACTAAATCTTTTGTATTTAGCTCGACTATTCAAAAGAAAAGGAAGATTTCTTGTACAAATCCAGGAGTCGGTGTAGGCGTCTGCATCACACTTGGTTAGGCATTTTCAAAGGCTACTAAAAGGAATGGCTAAAAAATTCCCAAACTTACTTGGAAGAATTATAGGACATCCAAGGTCCATGCTGTAAGCTAGACAGAAGTATGACCCTTTTTGAACCTAGAAAATTTTACATTATCTAGGCTTTTGTTTTACTATCTAGCCATTGGAATAGTCAACAACCCTTCTCTTTTGCAGAACTTTTATCATATTCACTGGTACTGTAGAATAAGCTCTAAAGAAACATGCGATAATTAAGGTTAATCATCGCGAAGCTTTTTACATTATGATTCTCAGGAGGATTAAAGTGAAGCATGAGACAGATTCAACGTTGAATGGTGCAAGAGTCACACGCGAGAATGTAAAATCTCACCATAAAAATACAAAAGGGCGACACAACACTTTTAGATAAAAATATTGCTTGTGTTGTCATTTGACCTGATATTTCAGTTGCACTAACCTTCGTGGAAGGCCACAGTTATTTAAAAGTGCTTTCTTACAGGCGTTAGAAGAAACTTTTGAATATCTCTGCTGGGGGTTTAGCCATATAATAATAGATAATGTGAATTTGGATGACCAGACATTTGTGCGTCTTTCTTGTTTATAATCTTACATTAAAAATAACTGTTAGTGTATAAGATGGATAGATTCCATATTACTTTTGTATCTTTCTTTTTGTAATCTTACATTCATGATACTGTGGTGTCTTTGTTATCATTTGCTACAAATACTAGGTTTTCAGGAACATTGTCTCAATTTACATTTTAAATTAGTCTTTTGTCTTTCATTTGCAGATCAATAATGTAGAGTATTATGAACGTTGCACTGATATTGTGTTCTTCTTATATATATATATATATATATATATATATATATATATATATATATATAATATATATATATATATATATATATATATATATATATATATATCCTTATATATAAGTCAATACATTTATTGTTAACTGTTTTCTGTAAATGTAAATTACACAATGTCAATGCAGCAATTGAGAAGCTCCGCGCAAAAAATGCGCTCATTACAGATACCTTACCAAATTATTCCTACGCACAGGTCATGTTATATGCTCTATAGTATTTAATCTGAATATAACATTACCTGTGCTTTATTTTATTTTTCATTTTTGCTGATTATATTATCGCATACTTTTTCAATACTTTTTTCCAGACAGTTTTACATCACAAAATTAGGCGTCAAATGCTGTGTGGCAGCCGTAAAAAGTTGCCCCGTACTTCACGTTAGTGTTGTTCTTCGGGATCATTGAGTCCAGCACTTTTAGCACTTTTAGTGCTAAAATTGAGTACCGCTCAAGCCGTAGCTAGGGGGCTTGAGAGATGTCATGCGTTTTCATTATCCCTCATGTACAGTCTCAATCAAACCCGAGCCTGCAATTTTCATGTAATTTTCCTTATTTAATGCTTCAGAGGAATCACTTTCCAGATGTTTATTCCATAGTGTTAGATTTAAAAGTTAAATGTTAATGACTTGTCCAGTGTGGCATTTCTTTTAATTTATTTGTTATTTTATGATATTCTCCGGCTTACAATACGATCATATTGTTCCTAGTAAAACTAAATAATAGAGAAATAAATATTTCTTAATATATAAGAAGTTATATATTTATTGTACAATTGAAAAAATATTGTTGTAGAGCAAAATGAATGAATAATCCGAAAATTTGATTATTAGTTACCGAGTCATACCTTAATCAATATTTATCCTGATCGTCTTGTCAAAAAAAACAACAACTTATTGGAGTCTTTTCAATAAATGTTCAAATCTCGTGATCAATATCAAATTGCGTGCGTATTGATTTTAAATACCGATAAATTTACAAATCAAGCAGGTATAGATCATAAAGATTTTCAGAAAATACAAACTGAATAATCACATAAAGGGAGTTTAAAGCTATGTTCAGATATTATATACACTATTAACTCATTTCTGAAGGAATATTTTTAATCACTATGAATTGATTGTGATGGATTTTATCTATTTTATTATTTCAATAATTCCAGCGATTCAATAATTGTAAAACAAAATAGATAATGGGTGTTTACTTTAAAAAACGTTAAGAACATTGTTTTCATAATTGTTGCGTATCAATTTGATTATGGTAATGTGCTTTGCGGACTTCACAAAATAGAAAACGACTGGAGAAATTGTTAAAGAGAATATCTTGTACATGTAAATTAACAAACAGGTAAATAGCTATTTTATATTAAATACTCCATTGTTTTCCAATATTTGAAATAGTCACGGTTTAGGAACTGTTACACAAAATAATTGAATCTTTCCGACAACTTATAATTTTTTCTGGATGTTGAGGTTGCAGAGGACAACCCCAGCAATCCTTCGAGGCTGAAGAGCAAATTTGGAATAAAATGTCCAAAAGAACCAATCATTATAGATTACAATAAACATAAAATTGTTGTTGATAAAATCATTTCGTATCTTGATACATCATATGAAATGACTTCAAACACAAGTGCGATTTACGATAAGGCCTTACTTTATAGGCAAATAAGCCAACCTAAAACTGCATTAAAGGTGTTAGAAGATTTGTCACAGATTAGTGACAATTTTAACTCAAGCATTATGCTGGCGAACATTTACGAGCAGTCTGCTTATTGTATGAATGATATGTCACTCAAGTCTGATGATATCAATATGAATGACAGAAGAGAAATGGAGGAGGTCAGCAACTTTTATCTAAAATCATCAATTGAGATTTCATGTACCCTCATTGATAAGATTCCGTCCCTCGACAATTGCTGGACATCTGCTACCACACTGAGGAATGTCCTCTATGATAAATTAGAGACGAAGACGAACAGAACAAAAGATACTCTAAAAGAGCTACGGAATCTTTGCAAAAAGCTAAATGAGCATTCCGATGCAATTAAGATACTTACAGAATTACAAATATTAGCCGATAACGAAGAAGAAGAAAAGGAGTTTCTAGAGGGAATTGTCGAGCATCAAATTTCCATGGGGAACTATGAAGAGGCAGTTATCGCTCTATGCATGTCTAAGCAACTAAGGGATGGGCAACCAATTGTTGAAAAGGATCTGTACATCAAAGCTTATATCGAGGCTGGTTTGAATTCTTTCACACGAAAACACTATCAAATGGGGAACATGCGTATTAGAGAAGCGTTTAGATTTGTAAGAGAATCTCAACAAACTCACAAAAATAGTGAAGCGCCTGATGAAACAAAAATAGATAAAGAAGAAAATGAATCATTTGACCTTTTTATTCTTTCAAACCTTGATGACGACGAAAATGGTCGAAAACTTATGATGATTTTAGATAATCTTGGACTGAAAACAACATTCAATACAGATAGTCCAGCAATTACTCCAGGTACACCCGAAGTAACTGGAATGACAAACATAATGAACAAATCGAATGCTTTCGTGGTTTTAAAAGACTTTGATACAGACAATAAGAAAATGCAACATTTAATTGATAAAATGCAAAATATTGTTGAAAATAGGATCAACAAGACATTGATTTTAGTAGTGACACTACCAGAATCCACAGAAATACTCCCTGGATCTTTTTATGCAACACAGAAGAAAATAACAATTGATCTTAAATCTGTATCAGAGGACTCTTTCTTTACAGTTGTACCCGAGGGTATCAAAAGTTTGTTAGTGGCTCTTGCATTGGTGTAAAAAGCTAGTATTCTGTTCAATTGAAGCTTTTTGATCCTTGTATGGTTATGTACATTTTCTATATAGCCATGTCCGCTGGAATATAGATGACATGATAATTGTAAGTAAAATGGGACTGGGTGAAGTTCTTTTTTCGAACTTTTTGCCATTCTTGTCACCGTTTAAATGTGCATCGATGTTGAATTAAATATCGTAGATATGAGGAATGTTGTTTAATCTTCGCAAAAATTTGGTAGCAGAGTGAAGTTTAAAAATTGTTATTGATACAGCAAGTTGTTGAAATAATTAATGACAACTTCGTCGAACAATGGAAACAATAGATGGTCGGATCGAGAAGATGACGAAGCGAATAACATTCACCTACTCCAATTTAAACAAAAGAAGACCGGATATAGAACAACATTCAATTAAGTTCAGACTTGTTATTGTCAAGCGATAAACCGGCATTATTGCTAAAAATTATAAGGGAAATTTAAGAAAATAGTTTTAATTGTCAAAATGATAACGTATTCTTTTTGAAAGATTTGAAGGTCGTATATCATGATGGAATAAACAAAAAATATACCCGATGACTGATGCATTCAAAAATATACAGATATATCAGCTTGTCCAACAGATGATGCTCATTTGATGTATAAACTATTTTACATGGACAAGTCCTTGTGCCATTTTCCTAAATATTTCTCGAACGTTGGCGTCGTATACAGGAGCTAGTGCGACATTTTTCGTAGAAAAGATGGCTTCGCAAATTGTTATATTGTTTAATTATCAAAAGTTAATAGTTTCGTCAATCAAAATGATATACATGTATAGTGTAAAAATTGCAAGGCATAATAAACCTTTCATTTATTATCTGCCAAAAGGTATTCATATTTATGGGACAATTAAGAAATACATTACTGGCAAACAGTAAAATAGCACAAAATATCATTCAAACGTGAAATATCCTGATTTCTTTATGATTATTTCTATTATTTTGATACATGCGTGTGACATTGTACAACAGTTGAAATAGTTGTGGATGTTTAAAAGTTCATGAAATAATTTTATTTCATGTAATTAGTATAAATTTTATGTAATCGTTTTTTTTTATATAAATTTAATGTAATCGTTTCGTTTCTTTTTCATAAAAATAATTCATCGTGAATTCGTGAAGTTGAAATTGGGAATTCATGAAGTTGAAATCGTGAATTCGTGAATTCGGTATGTTGGAAACGGGAATTCAGGAAGTAAAAATAATGAATTCATGAATATGAAATCGAAAATTCATGAAGTTGAAATGACACTACTGGTCTTTTGTAGATACATCCCGTATTTATTCATTGCAAACATGCTTTCTTTAGAACTAGGTCAACAAGTTTAATCAAGAATTTAGCAAATGCATCATATAATCGAGGTCTTCATATAATATTGGTATAAACCAAGTTTGATTATAATATCTCATTCAAAATTTTAGTTATTGTCCGGGAACGATTTTTCTTTTTTTAGTAATGGTAACATTGACCCAAGGGCTCCTAATGCAATACCAACCGGGGTTTACACATAAGGTTACTCTATACCAAGTTTGATTACAATACCTCATTCCAAACTCTAATTATCGGACGAATGGACGGACTGACCAACCGACAAGCTGACCTAAACTTCATTTGTTGGGGTATAACAATACTTCCAAAGAGGTCGATTTATAAGTTAAATGTTTATGACTTGCCAAGTGTGGCATTTCATTTTTTTAATTTGTTATTCAATGCCATTCCTCTGCTGATTATACGATCGCATTCTTTCCTAGTAAAACTAATAATGGAATAGAAATGAATATTTCTTAATATATAAGAAGTTGGATATTTTTGTACCATTAAAATGATTATTGTGAAGAGCAAAATTAATGATTAATCTGAAAATTGGCTTATTAGTTATCCAGTCATACCTACATCATTATTTATTCAGTTCGTCTTGTCAAAAACACCTTATTGGAGTCTTTTCAATAAATGTACAAATCCCGTGATCAATATCAAATTCACGGTTAATGATTTTTAACAACCGATCGATTCACAAATCAAGCAGATATAGATCTTAAAGATTTTCAGTAAATACGTTCATAATAATAACATAGTAAAAGCTATGTTTGAATATTATATGCTATATAAACTCATTTCTGAAAGGAATATTTTCAATCACTTTGAATTGAGTGTGGTAGAATTTATCAAATTTTATATTGAAATAATTCCACTGATTCAATAATAACAAAACAAAATGGATAATGGGTATTTATTTTAAAAACGTAAAGAATATTGTTTTCATTATGTTTAAATAAATAAACAACACAGAAGATATAAATATATTTCATTGACATATCTTGCTATATAAGCTTACCATTTTTGAAATACAAACTCAACAAGTGTAGTCATTAGGTCGTTTACCTGGTATTTCTTTACCCTCAGTGTTATGTATTCGAATACCGAACGATTTTTTACAATGTTAACAAAGATCAACACCTAAATTATCAGTGTTTTTTTTATTTGCATTTCAATGCGTTTTAACAATAAAGACGACAAATTATTGGCGTCCGCACCGAAGCGCAACGCCCCTAATGGAATGAAATCAGATTTTGTGAAAGGGCGACAGCAACTTCTCGGGCCTTTTCGTCGATCATAAGAGCCGATCATTCCGATTGGTATGAGGGTTTTGATTTTCAAAAATGAAATGTCGCGAACAATGAATAGCAACTGGAGAATTTCGCAATGCAAACATATTCAAATGAAATAATCTTTTCCGTCAATTAATCGCGCTATTCGGGGTGTTTTTATTAATCATTTTGTAGTACACAGTGGGTTATTATGGTTTGTTATTGTTTTATATGTATCCGTAAGCTGTAAATAGAATGATGACCTAGTCTGAAAATCTATTTATAGAGGCATGTCACCGGTTTTCTATCAGTAATTCCTGGTCTCTCCCGGTCTATTTTGACAGGGATTTACTAGAGCCCGTCGAATAGTACCACACGTTTATTGTCCGGTCTCTCCCGGTTTTGGAGTAGATGTTTGATATCGTTACAGATAAATAACTAAAGTGTTTTTTGCCAAAATGAATGTTTGTCACTGAGTTTGGTTACAATAATTAATAAACACAGATCAACTCTCAAAATTGATTATTATTATACATAAACATACAATTCGAAAAAAAAACCACAAACAACAATAGCATGTTTCATTTTATTTATATGAGATAAAAACAATAAATATGTACGAAAATAGAGTAAAAATGTACATTTTTATGGTAATAATATGACACCATCAACTTTGAAACATTTTATTTTATTTGTTATTCGTGTTTAGTAAAGATGCTGAGGAATTATTCTAAGTTACAAATTAAATTTTATGAATTATTCAATTGATTGATAATTTAAAAAATGATAAAGAAAAATACAAATGTACATGTACATGGTTTAAGAATAAACAATATAATATATTGAAAGATAAACCATAATTTACTGACTTTTTCCGGTTAATTTTTGACTTATTATCGTCGGTCATTATGACAATTGAATTCTTAAAATTTATTTTAAAATTTTAATAAAAAAAGTAGTAAACGTATTGAATTCTTAATTTTTTTTTTAAAAATTTTAATAAAAAAAGTAGTAAACGTAAAAACTCAGTATTAAAATAGCACATGAAACACAAAAAAAGAAAAGAAAACAATATTCATAAAACATGTAAAAAAATAATATTAAAATAAATATTACAATTATTGTATAATAAAACAATTATGCTCAACATGTAATATAACCAGTGTCATATTGTTACTAAGTGTGAACAGATCGCTAATAGCGATAACATAATAAGGGACAACACACAAGTGTGGTGTTGATCATGCCTTACACAAATGGATAAAAATGATTGTATATATCTGTATATATCCTTTGCTATTAATAATAACGATATCACATTTATGACCATAAAAAATAACAATTATAATATAATGTAATATATGTATTTTATTGTTTCAAAAATGTAAAAGAACTATTGATTTTGACTACTATTTTGTATGTTCCTAAGAAAATTCCATATGAACTTGAAATTCTATCAAATCACCAATATTAATGATAATATTCAAAAATACCCCCATATATAGTATAAATAAACTTATACCATATGGAAAGTATATTTTGAATATCATTGACCTGTTTATTTTGGATATAATCGTTAATATTGATAACATTTCAAGTTCCTGTGAAAAAAAGTAATATTCTAATCTCTCGCATGCCTACCAAAGTTCATAATGAACAATGTCTTTCGTCCGCTCATTCATAAGTGATAAAAACTAATTAACCATTGAAAGAAAGGTTTATAAGAATATCTTGTCATCATATGTCTACTAGTTAATCTTCACTTGCTGCATTTCTTGCTTGGACGCCCTTTGATGCTCTGCATCGATGCTTTTCTTGTTAGACTACTGGTATATTTATTGATATACTTAGTATTCATGTATATTATTAGTTATAAAGATTGTTGACAGGTAATATGGCCCTATATAAACGGCTTTTTGTAAATATAACCCGAGCTGCTAGGCGAGGGTTTTATTACAAACAACCGTTTATATACGGCCATATAACATGTCAGGAATATTAATAGCGAATTTATAATACTGCAAACTTCATTTTTAGATAAAAAAGTGAGATTTCTTTATAAACTGACAGCAACCGTGTATATAAAACTATATAAACGTCACGATTATCCAATGAAAATTGACGTTACAAACATGCAGTATTATAAAAGGTTTACTAGAAGTTTTATCTTAAAGCTTTTATCTAAAACCTAGTGCAACCTAAACCTGTTTGAATCCCTTTAAATCATGTTCTTAAAAGAATGGGAATACAAGCAACATAATATAATGATTACATTTATTGTTAAAAATTCTTATTAATTCAGATTACATTAAAGCCAAGGCGTATACAATTCAGCTAGCCGACGATATGGAGGAAATTCGGAAGAAACTAAATCAGTTCCCATCAAGCTTCAGTGTAACAGAAACGATGGCTACTATGTCACGTGTAGAAATTGAAAAGGTAAAACACAAATTAGAGATTGAACTGGAATCTTCTGAAAAAGAATTCAGCACGGATATGGAAAAGATTAGAGCCGAAAATTTACTTTCGTTTCTTCAGTTCCATCTAGGAGATCAAGAAAAGGCGACACAGTTTAACGAAACAGTTTTAGATAGAGAACCGGACAATATGATAGCTTTATCAAACAAAGCTTGGTTTTCTTTAAGAAACCGTAAACACATATTGCAGTGCAAAGAACTTTGTGATCGTCTCAAAGCATTAACGAGACAGAATGAATTGGCTTTTGTAATCGCAAGAGCTGAGGTAGCATTTACCTACTCAAGACTAGGAATATGGAATTATAAGAAGGCTTCGTTAGAGTTTGAAAACGTTCTTCGAGATAGCAAGAAAATGAAAGAAAAGGAATTTGGACTGGACTCTGCTTCACATTCCACCCTAGTTCAAGTTCCGGCCGACTATGTTTGTGTGTGGATGTATGGGAAAGCCCTCTGTCAACGGAGACAGTCACATCTATATAACATGTACGACGTAGCAGATATGGAAGAAATGAAAAACTATTACAATGTTACGCTAGAGCTTTATATGAACATAATTGGGATAGAAAATTCTGAAAGCGATTGTATCAAGAGATACAAAGCGAGGTCATATGTTGAAATTGGTCGTATTTCTTATGATGTCACTAAAAAGTCATCCGTATTTACAAATGGCATGGAAGAGTTTATGCCTTCAAATTCACCATTTTTAATGCCTACAACAGATTATTTTAGAAAAGCTCTTGAGTATTATCCGGATGATGTATATGTTCTTGAACGAAGCGGGAAGTTCTTTCGTTACATAAATCAACCTGAAGAATCAATACATCTACTAACTCGAGCTATTGAAATCAAACCAACCTCCTTTGGGTATCATCATATCGCCCTGACGTTCAAAAGGCTACTTGAAATAAACAAAGGGGGATTAGCAAGGCAATTATTAGAACGTCACAAGGACTGTACAAATGGACAAATTAAGTCATTCGGCGAACGTAATGATGTTGATGGTCCAGAGGGCAACCCAACCAATCGTAGTTCAAGATCATTGCATAGAAATGAAATACAACAAAATTATATCGTTGGTGAAGACAAAAGTCAAGACCAAATGTTAGAAGCGCATAGATCAGTGACAACAGCCCTTGAAACAGCAATGCAGTCACTTAACAAAAGAAGACGTGATATGCAGCAATCAAGTTTTACATTGACTGGAAACTTTTCACAACTTGATCTAAACCCCCAAAGAGGCAACGTCAACAGTTTTCCAGTCGATAAACAATATTTCCCAAGACGTGCTCAATTACCATTGCATAGAGATCAGAGGCATGTCCGGCGTCCAAATAATTTATATTTTCGCAAGAGAGGTACTGATATCCCCGACGGTCCTTCGAGGTTGAACAGTAAGTCTGGAATAAAATGTCCAAAACAGCCAAAGATTATAGATTACAATAAACATAAATCTGTTGTTGATAAAATCATTGTGTATCTTGATACATCATTTGAAATGTCGACAAACACGAACGCAATTTACGATAAGGCCTTACTTTATAGGCAAATAAGCCAACCTAAAACTGCATTAAAGATTTTAGAAGATTTATCAAAGAATAATGATAAATTCAATACACCCATAATGTTAGCGAACATTTACGAGCAATCCGCTTTTTGTATAAGTGAGATGTTACACCAGAATAATGATTTCAAAATGAATGAAAAATGTGAATTGGAGGCAGCCAGGGACTTGTATTTGAACTCTTCAATTGAGATTTCATGTGGTATCATTGAAAAAATTCCATACCTCGACAATTGCTGGAAATCTGCTGCTACACTGAGGAATGTCCTGTATGGTAAATTAGAGACAGAAAGAACGAAAAATACTCTAAAGGACCTATCGTCTCTTAACGAAAAGCTAAATCGATATCGCGATGCAGTTGAAGTACTTAAAGAACTGGAACTATTAGCCGATGACACCGAAGAAGAAAGGGAAAATACTGAAAGAATTGTAAACAATCATTTTTTGGCAGGAAACTTTGAAGAGGCAGTCATCGCTCTATGTATGTCTAAGCAACTGAGAGATGGACAACCAATTGTTGAAAAGGATCTATACATCAAAGTTTACATCGAGGCAGGTTTGGATGCTTTCAGACAAAAACATTATCAAAAGGGGAAAATGCGTATTGGAGAGGCGTTTAGATTTGTGAGAGAACAAACTCACAAAAATAGTGAAGCATCTGATATGGACGAAGAAGAAAATGCATCATTCGACCTTTTTATTCTTTCAAACCTTGATGACGAAGATAATGGACGAAAACTCATGATGATTTTAGATAACTTTGGACTCAAAGCAACATTTAATACAGATAGTCCAGCGATTGCTCCAGGCACACCCGAAGTAACTGGAATGACTGACACAATGAACAAATCGAATGCTTTTGTAGGTTTAAAAGACTTTGATACAGATAATAAGCAAATGCAACATATAATCGATAGAATGCAAAGCATTGTTGAAAACAGGCACACCAAAACATTGGTTTTAGTGGTTACACTACCAGAATCTACGGAAGTAAAACCTGGATCTTTTTATGCAACACAGAGGAAAATTACAATTGATCTTAAATCTGTACCAGAGGACTCTTACTTTACAGTTGAACATTGCTTATCAGAGGGTGTCAAAAGTTTGTTAGTAGCTCTTGCATCGGTGTAAAAAGCCCTTCATGCTGTTGAATTGAGGATCTTTGATCCCTGTCATTGTACAGTAATGTACATATTGCTATATTTTCATGTCCGTTACAATATATATTAGATGAAAATTGAAACCGTTACAAAATGGGACTGAGTGATGTGCTTAGTTAGTATTTCCCCATTATTTGTCATCGTTAACAAGTTCATCGACGTTGATTAAATTATAGTGATAAAATATGACGATTTTTTTTTTCATTTTCGCACCATTTTGGTTGCAGAGTGAATTTTTAACATCGTAGTTGATACATCTATTTGTCGAAATAATGACTTCGTCAACTTAATAGAGAACAACATTTAATAAAGATCAGACTAGTTATTGTTTTATCGATGAACCGGAATTGTTGATAAAAGTATTAATTGTCAGAATGATGTCTTTTTTCTGTAAGAATAGACGGTCGTATATCGTGATGGAATAAATGAAAAACAACAGTCATCAAGAGAACATTGGCGGTGAGAACATCAAACCCTTAGAAAAGATCAAGCTGCTTTTGAAAAAACCAATGACCGAGAAAAAAGACAAAAGATATATGAATATTGCAAAACCTTGTTCATGGCATGTATTGATAGTGCAACACCCACAAGTAAATATAAATGGCTACAATTACGCTTTAATCTACCATGTGAAGCTTTGAGTTGTACAGGAAATCAGAATGTCAAGACAACCCTGCTTAGGAAATCAAAAATGAAACAAAAGTTGCCAGTAGTTAATGTAACTGACGTTCTTTCCATATTTGAACATTTGCCTGTAACTAAAAAGATGGAATAGTAACAGATGATAAGGAAAAAGTATCAAATTGAAAATAGCCAGCGTTAGAAGTAGCTGCTGAGCCGTTATTCAAGATATTGAAGGAAACTGCATGAAACGTAACTGTCACTGTTATACATGAGAAAAGTATTTATTTTGAGAACATGTTACAACGTGCAGAAAGCATAAATGGTTCGATTAGAATGATCTTTAGTTTTTAACCTACTATATATCTTTGACCGGATGTTTGCCATGTTGGTATTGATGAAATAAACGTAAAGCAGTACTATCGACTTGTGAAATTGAAACTAATTCATCAGATATAAATGATAATTTATGTACAGATATCCTATACGAGGAAGAACTGAACACATCATGACAGCAACTTTGTAAAATCAACGTCACAATGAAAACAAATATTTGTGAAGCTGGAAACATTTTGAAGTTTCCAAACCACGAGAACAAAGATCAAAAAGGAAGGGTTACATTCAATAGCGCGTCCCTTATTAAATTTCATAGTTGCACGACTAGATATAGTTCCAGTTATACAAGAATATTGAAATATATAACTTTGTATAAAAGGGATATGTTAAGAAAATAAAAGAACATGAAATAATGTTGATCAAAAGTAGTATTTTCCGCATTTTCTAAGAACTTTAAACTGATAAAGCAACAACAAAGTTTATGATCGTGTTTGATGTTTAGCAAAATGTAAAGGGATATTTTTGAATGATACCATTCACTAGAGACAAAAATTGCAAATAGATTTGTTTGAAGTTATACAACGTGTCCGGTGACATTGATGTGATAATCTTTGTTAGAATTTGTATTGCAACACCATTGATTCTATGAAGAGGCAATCAAAACGATACAGAAGGTGAATAAAAATTTCCTAGTTTGATTTTGACGAAAATACTTGGCATATTTTGGCATAATTTACTCCGCCATAGTAGCATATTAAACATTGAATTACATCCCATGGCTGCAGAGATAATAATGCATGTAAAATTTAGAGATAGGTCAGCATATCCAACAGAATGATGATGTTTGTTTTACTTCTAAATCTAAACCATTTTACATGCACAAGTCGGTGTATCATTTGCCTTAAATCTTGCTCAATGTTCTGACCACAGGAACGGTTATATTGTTTTAATAATTAAGTATTACAAGTGGTTTCGTGAATAAAAAAATGGGTTGTTCTCTTGGCATATCACAAGGTGAACTAAGAGTACTTCACACTGTCCCTGGAAAAGATGGTCATGCTCGTGCTGCAGAGATTTGCGCTGGAAAATCAGGAATGAGACCCATAACAAAAGGTTGCTCACTTGAAGGTGTTTGATAACATATAGTGTAACAATTACAGGGGAATAATAATCCCTTTACTTATTTTCTGCCAATCACGACAAGAAGATATTCATTTTTCAGGGCAAAAATTTAAATTCATTTCTGACAAACAGTAAAATAGCATAAAAGTATCTTACAAAAAGAAAAATGTGATAACAATAATAATATGGAATTTTGTATGATAATTACTGTCATTTTGATACAAGTGTGTGACTTTGTGCAACAGTTAAAATAGATATGAATTATAAAATGTATAATTATGAAATAATTTTGTGTCATGTAATAAGTATACATTCAATGTAGTCGTATGTTATTTTATAAACGAAATTAGTGATTTAAAAATCTGAAGGACTATAATTATCTTTTCTGTGCCTTTTTAGGCGAAAGAGATGAAATATAATATCTTTGAAAACATACTTAAATAGAAATATATTTGCAAGTAATAAGTTTTAAGTATTGAAATTATAAAGGCTTTAACATTCAAAGGAGGGAAGTTTGTTGTAAAGAAATGATTGTTAGATGACTACGATATTTGTCTTGATAAATGGGACTCAACTTAGATTTTTCGAGATTATTCTTTCATTTGACGTATGTCTAGACAACTAACTTGTATGTAAAACTTTCAGATCTTTCGTTCACTCGCTCAGTTTTTCCAGAATAATCAATCTAATAGTGAAAAATGACCCAAAAGTGAAAAGTCTCGCAACGATGTTCACTAAATTGGGACTGACTATAGTATTAACAATTTTATTCTAAATCATCGTTAGCAAAGCTTTCTGTTTTAAGTGACCTTGCTGATCTATTTAAGAAATTCATTTTTTTGTATCTTGTTATTCAGTTGAATTCCTTCAATATTTAAGTAAAGTAGGCATGAGTGATGTCCCTTGTTTATTACTACTTGATGTAGAAAAATATCGTACTACAATATTTGTATTCATTTGTTGTAAACTTGTTTTATTATATTTTATTACATAATATTGTATTATATTACTGAAAAAGTACACATTTAATCTCCATAAATATGTTTGAAGAAATAAAGGTTTCAACTAAGATTTCAAGTTTATTATAACATTGAATATGTATTCTGTATGGATGCTTCATACCTCTCATTCTTATCTATAGTTTTATGTCGATTACTATGTTTAGATTAGTTGTGCTATGTAACTTTGTAGAACTTTTGTATACATTACATTCACTTAGCATGGCCTAATATCTAAGTGTTCTATTTTGTATGTAAAACTTTCAGACCTTTCGTTCACTCGCTCAGCTTTTCCAGAATAATCATTCTAATTGTGAAAAATGACCCAAAAGTGAAAAGTCTCGCAACGATGTTCACTAAATCGGGACTGAGTATAGCATTAAATATGATTTTCAATTTTAATTCTAAATCATCGTTAGCAAAGTTTTCTGTTTTAAGTGACCTTGCTGATCTATATAAGAAATTCATTTTTTGTATCTTGTTATTCAGTTGAGTTCCTTTAATAGTTAAGTAAAGTAGGCATGAGTGATGTCCCTTGTTTATTACTATTTGATGTAGAAAAATATCGTACTACAATATTTGTATTCATTTGTTGTATTCATTTGTAAACTTGTTTTATTATATTATTATTACATAATATTGTATTATATTACTGAAAAAGTACACATTTAATCTCCTTAAATATGTTTGAAGAAATAAAGGTTTCAACTAAGATTTCAAGTTTATTATAACATTGAATATGTATTCTGTATGGATGCTTCATACTTATCATTCTTATCTATATTTTATGTCGATTACTATGTTTAGATTAATTGTGCTATGTAACTTTGTAGGACTTATGTAAACTTTACATTCACTTAGCATGGCCTAATATCTTAGTGTTCTATTTTCAATTACATTGTATTTCTAAACATTTTTAGATACAAGTTTATGATTTAGCTGTTGCATTTGTAAGTTATTATTATCCTAAATTCTAGAGGGAGTTCATTCAAGGAGGTTTGCCACTCGACTGAACACAATTGTTCTTTAAGAAGTAACATTTCTGAAAGCTCTCTGAAATTAATTATGTAATTATTGGATCTATTATAGGCACTTTGACATATAAATGAACCTTTAAGATTATTTAATTTTATTGAAACATGTTCGACATTTTGTCGTATTTTAGTGTTTTTGCCTGGCACCTAGCAAAGTGAAAATACGAGCCACCATAGTGTTGATATTGACGATTAAACTTTTCCTCTATGAAAACAAAATCTTTTAAACCGCAAACTATTTTAGTACATTATATAATAGCAAAAAATTCGATAACTCTTATAATATTTAAAAAAAACCCCTCATATTTATAGTTAAGTTTAGTCGTCATTAGTGATGTCAAATGTGATTAGATTATTGACGGGAAGCTTTCTAATTTTATTTTTGAGATTAATAACCACACCCAAAAGTTTTTCTTTATTTTACTTTTTAAAGTTCTAATAGCTAAAGGATTTTCTTTGCCAAAATATGTTTGATAATTTTTCAAACATCAACTTCATGCAGCCCTAACAACACCCAGGCTTACAGAACGACCGGTAGGCGTCAAGCAGGGCAGTGAAAAAGGAAGGCACAAACGCGGGGCAAGGACGGGTCATGTCCATTTAAGGTAATAAATGAAGAATTAAGGTAGCGTTCCCCTGATGCATCAGTTCCACTTTGAAAAATGTTTAAAAAGGATACAAATACTGTCAAATGCATTGAAACTTAGGGCGATGAGCTCAAACCGCAGTAAGGTCAACTTATTTCTATTTTGATCTTTTAAAATTAATTGATATATAATGAAAGACCTGTAACACTAGAAATAATAATGTTGATAGTATTTAGTATTAGGCATAACAACAAATCACCACGAATGAATAATAAGGCAACTGTGAGGTACATGATCCGATATTACATATAAATATATTAAAACTTAGGTAATAAAATGTTCCAGAACAAAATATTATTATTCATCATATAAATGTTCACACTAAATCAACACTTTTATCAAGTGCAATCTTAAAATGCTACATCTGTTTTCACATAAAATATGAAGTTTTTTCTGTACTGTTAGTATTAAACAGATTTATTATCTGAGTATGCTTTCTTCAAATAGCATACACTATTTGTATTTTCCCTTGATTATTTTTCGTACAGTTACGCTATTTTTAAACTGTATTTAACACATTTAATTCTATTATATTTGTATATTGAAGTGAACATGAAAACCTATCACGGTAAGTTCTGTACATTACCTGACTAAAAGTATTAGCCCTAATGTAGTGTATAAAGTGACACATTATCGGTTCACCAAAGGCGAATTAAACACGTATTTTGAAATCTTTAACGTGTACGTAAAGTATAATAATAGCACAGCTTAAGAAAGAGAAAAATTGTGTGACTATGCGAATTATATGTTTTCACTATTGTTAAACTTTTAGTTGTGAAAACGAGACCTCTATTCTGTCTTTTAATTTAATTTTCGGTCGAAAGTATGCAATGACTATATGTTTCAAACATGTGTGTTGTCAGATGTTTTCCATGCTTTGTTTCGCTCAAGAGCAATCTTTATGTGTTTGTCCTTTTCATCTAATTTTGGAACTTATATTATGTTTTATTCACCTATACATAGCTAAAATAAATTAAATAATTTAACTTCTAAATTGTAATTATTGTAAGCCATTAAAATACAAGGTATATAGGCCTATTTTGGTGCGTTACAATTCTATTTTTAGATAAAGATAAACAAGACAGAGTTTGGTACTGTTTTTAAGTACACAGGAAAAATATTTTGCTCGGTCTATTTATAACTTCTGAACTATGTAATGGATACAGTACAAGGTTTTCTTCAACTTTCGTAAGTTTCCCTGGGTTAAACAACACAATGTCCGAGGTTAAGCCGAGGATAAATTGTTGTTTGTCCTAACGTACCGTCCTCTTCTCGTCTGTAAGAAGATACTATATTATTGTTACTTAAATAACTGAGATCTTGGAATATTTCTTATTGTTGAAGTAAATTAAATTGTCATAGGAGAAAGTATAAGGCTTAGTTTTTTGCTTTATAAGAAATGTTAACTCAAAGTACACATTGATATAAATTTGTAAATAGAATTTTATTATTTTAGTTCTTAATAAATTGTTCCATAAGTTATATTTTACACATAATCTATATTAATAAAGATGGTTTTGATAAAGCCCTTGTATTCAATCATCAGTTTCAATTCAAAGCTATGTAAAGTTTATTTATAAGTAACGGATGATTAGGATTTTTATCATCGACCAAAATCTCGATATCTTCTTACATGCAAAACTGTTGTTGTTAAATTCCGAATATTAGGCATTTGATAATTTAAATAATGCAATTACTGAATAATTATTATAATTATTTGTAATGTATTGTAATATAAATATATATTCCATCTTGACTGCCACAGAATAAAGTACTTAATTATGTTTTTCAAATTTAAATCTTGAATTTCATTTATCATTTATGTTGAGTCACATTTTTTCTATTGTTTTTCATTCAATGTTTCACTGTAATAAATATGTTTTATTTTAATCTTAAGCCGTTTCTCTCAAGTATGTTTTAATTCTTATAATTGACGCATTTTCCATACTTTGCATATCAAATAATCGTTGTATTTTATATTATTGTAACTGATCCTTGAATATTTGTTATTGTTGAAGTAAATTTAATTTGTCATAGGAGAATGTAAAAGGTTTAGTTTTTGCTTTATAAGAAATGTTAATTCAAAGTACTCATTAATATAAATTTGTAAAAAAAAATATTTTTATTTTAGTTCTTAAACATTTTTTCCATAAGTAATATTTTACACATAATCTATATTAATAAAGTTAGTTTTAAATATTCAAATAAAGCCCTTGTATTCAATCATCAGTTTCAATTTAAAGCTATGTAAAAGTTTATTTATAAGTATCTGTTGATTTGGATTTTTATCATCGACCAAGATCTCGGTATCGTCTTACATGCAAAACGAGTTATTGTTAAATTCACAATATCATGCAATTGTTAATTTAAATAATGCAATGTCTGAATAATTATTATAATAATTTGTAATGTATTGTAATATAGATATATATTCCATCTTGACTGTCACAGTATAAAGTACTTACGTTTTTCAAATTTAAATCTTTGGTTTTTATTTATCAGTCATCTCCACAAGTGGCGCACATGTGCATGCCTGTATAACAGTAAGTGTCTTTATTGGAATTCTTAATGCAATGTTACGGGCCGTATCCAATATGATACATCTACCAAAACTTCAGCATTTGCATTCGAAGCAAAATCAACTGAAAACAAAAATATGATTGCCTACCAGCTGTTTTGTTTCAGAGTGCATGCCATGTTTATGTTCTATTGTCTGAATTTCAGAAAATAATTTACTCTGTGCTGGTTTCTCAACATCACATATGTTGAAAGTACAAGATGTGACACAGATTTAGCATATTTCAACGAACTGCTGTTAGTTTCTTAAAATAAAAATCCAACTGTAACTGTGTTCCTGAAAATGGCTCTCCAATCTGTTAGCTTAGTTTTCGATGAACTGAAGTTACTCACAAATAGCGCAATCAAGTTCACTATAACTTTTCGTATTTCTATGGTGTCCTGTTTGAAGCAGAAGCAAATTAAAAAAAACACCTGTTCTGATGCAAGGTATACTAAATTTCTTGTATTTCGCTTGACTTTTCGAACTACATGGAGAGCTATTGTGCAAGTCCAGTCGTCGGTGTAGGCGTTGATATCACACTTTGGTTAAGTATTCTCATATTTTACTGAAAGAAATGGGTTTTAACTTCACAAACTTATTTGGGAGAATCCAAAGAGGACACTATCCAAGGTCCATGTTCTAATTTCGACTTTGACAGAACTATGACCCTTTTTGAACCTAGAAAATTCTATATTATCGAGGCTCTTTTTGTCAATATCAAGCCCTGCGAATAGTCGAACACGGTTCTCTTTCGAAAAACTTTTAGTTTATTCACTGGTACTGTAGAATAAGCTCTAAAGAAACATGCAATAAATAAGGTTAATCATCGCGAAGCCTTTTACATTATAATTCTCATGAGGCCTAAAGTAAAGCATTAGACATATTCAATGTTGAATGGTGCTTAGAATTTCACGCGAGAATGTAAACTCTCACTACAAGTATTATTCTATAAAAATACAAAAGGGCGACACAACACTTTTAGGAAAAAATCTTGCTTGTGGTGTCTTTTGACATGCCGAAGTAGGACACCGTATATTTCAGCTCCACAAAATCCTTGAGGATTAAATCCTCACAGTTATTTAAAAGTTTTCGTACAGACGCAAGAAAACACTTTTTAAAAAGCTCTGCTGGGGGTATAGTCATAATGATAAACAAGAGCCATGTCAACATGGCCATCCCCCGCCGAATGTGTTTGCTCATTGGAAGAATGTATATGTAGTAGAGCGGAATAATTCCATTTTAAGAGGTATTTTGGTAATGAAAACTGATGGCTATAGGGATTACAGATTTGAAACCTATGTGAATACTGATGGCTGAAAATAACAAAGGGCAATTACTGAAAAATAATGCAGGGTAAGTTATCATTCTTGTGTGCTGCATCCCTCCTCAGTAAAATCTATCCACCTATGAAGTTTCAAGTTGATACCTCAAATACTTTTTGAGAAAAAAATTGAATTGAATAATTAAGTATGAAAAAGAACAAACGGCAATAACTCAAAAAATATAAAAGGTAGAGTTATCATTCTTGTGCAGTGCACACCTCCTGAGTGAGATCTATGCACCTATGAAGTTTCATTTTGATATCTCAAAGGCTTTTTGAGTTATGCTCTTGACAAAAATTAATTTTGAAAAATAACAAAGGGCAATAACTCAAAAATAATGCAGGTAGAGTTATCATTTTTAAGCACTGCACTCCTCCTCCATGAGATCCATCCACCTTTGAAGTTTCAAGTTGATACCTCAAATACTTTTGAGATAAGCTCTGGACAAAATAGCATAAAAAACAAAGGGCAATAACTCAAAAATTGTGAAGGGTATAGTTATCATTCTTGTGCACTGCACACCTCCTGAGTGAGATCTATGCACCTATGAAGTTTCATGTTAATATCTCATAGGCTTTTGGAGTTATGCTCTGGACAAAAATCAATTTTGAAAAATAACAAAGGGCAATAACTCAAAAATCATGCAAGGTAGAGATATCATTCTTGTGCACTGCACTCCTCCTCAATGAGGTCTATCCACCTATGAAGTTTCAAGTTGATAACTCAAATACTTTTAGAGATATGCTCCGGACAAAAATGTCGGACGAAAGGACTTACGGACGGGCGGAAGGTCGGACGGACGGACGGAGACTATTTCTATATCCTCCGCCGAAATTTTTCGGCGGGGGATAATAATTGGTATATGGATGGTTATACATTATTGTGTCTTTCTTACTTATAATCCTACATTAAAAACTAGAACTCCGCGAGTCGGATGTGTCGCCTTGTGAACAATATAGTTTAGGAGAAATGGCCAGGACAAAAATGAAATTTTAAAATCAACAAAGGGCAATAACTCAAAAAATAAGAAATGCAGAGCGGCAGTTTCTGTACACTGCACTTCTATAACATCTATCATCCTATTTAGTTTCAAGTCTAAAGCTTTTATAATTTATGAGAAATGGTCTGGACAAAAATAAAGTTTCAAAATTAACAAGGGCATTAACTCAAAAAATAAGACATGCAGAGTACCAGTTTTTGGGTACTGCACTTCTTCGTAATGAGATCTATCATCCTATGAAGTTTCATGTCCATAGCTTTTATACTTTAGGAGAAATGGCCTGGACAAAAATAAAGTATGAAAATTACCAAAGGGCAACAACTCAAAAAATAAGAAGCGCAGAGTACCAGTTCTTACGCACTGCACTTCTTCTTAATGAGATCTATCATCCTATGAAGTTTCATGTCCATAGCTTTTATACTTTAGGAGAAATGGCCCGGACAAAAATAAAGTATGAAAATTAGCAAAGGGCAATAACTCAAAAAATAAGAAGTGCAGAGTACCGGTTCTTGTGCACTGCACTTCGGTTCATTGTAAGAAGCATGCATACCAAGTTTGAAGTCAATTTGACTTTGATGACTGACTTATGCTCCGGACAAGCTTAAGGGGACGCCGACACCGACAACAACGCCGACAAAGACGCCGCCGACAAAAGTAATCCCTATATGTCGCCTTTCTCAAGGCGACACAATAAGTGTATTCAGGAACATTGTCTCAATTTAACTTTAGTCATTTATATTCCATAATACTAAGATCTGTAATGTAGAGTATTAAGACCGATGCACCGATATTGTTTCCAATTTTATATATATATCCATATAATTATGTAACATTACTCACTCTGTGTCGTGAGTGAAACAATTATTCACTTATCCCATGTTATAATCTTACTAGAAAGAAACCAAAACAACAAAATTAATAGGATTTAGGCATTGTATTTGACAACTTTCAACAAATAACTGGAATGAAATAATAATTGGAAACGTGAATAATTTTATTTAGTCAAGACATTACACATTACACAATTTCAAAGTATTTTCAGGCTATCAATGTTTTGCAAATTAATATAACGATCTCTCATGATTCTTTTTGTCTGAAAAAATGTTCATATGATTTGTGTTTACATATGTGTTTATATTTGTATTTCTTTTTCTTGTCGGAGGAAGGTAGTCTAGTACTGGTGTAACTCTCAAGGAACGATGGTTAGGAAACTATCCGCCTATATGACTGAAATACTGTTGGGAAAAGGCGTAAAATGAAACAAACAAACAAACAAAATCTTTTTCTTGTCTTAAATGCATTTATAAAATTCTTCTCCTGTGTGTCATCTTTTTTTATTATATCAATTTGCTAGAATGGTCGTGTCTCATGTTCATTTTTCATTATACATAGTGCATTTCTAATATATAACATATTCTTCCTTGTTTATCCAATCTTCATCTCATATTTACTCCCATAGCCCATTATCATTCCTCATATATCATAGACTAACTATAGTAAATAAACTATGGTGACGCCCCTCCAGATTTTACTCGTAATTTGCCGTCACGCATGCGCACGGCAGATTCGAAAAAAAGTTGTTATTGTGAAAACGTTACTACTGTCGTCTGTGTTTTATTATTTTGCCGTGTTTGTGTATTTTGCAATGAGTGTCTTGATATATGTTAATTCTTCGTTTTTTTCATTCATCATTATTTTCGTGATTTTGTATGGTTATGAAATGCACACAGAACGGAAATATCGTTGTTATTTTGAAAATGTAATTACAGTACTCTCTTAGTTTAATTATATTGCTGTTTCTGTGCATTTTGCAGTCCTAACACAGAAGAGAACTTACAGAACCCTTCAACAAATCAAGAAGGTAACACTCAATTATTCTGTTATTTAACACCTAATGTAATGATTACTCATATTAATGATTGAAATATTAAACGATTAGTACTTAAATATTAAGTGCGTCGTTTTATATATTTTTATAATATTTTATGGAGATGATATGACTGCATACTTTCTTAGGTAAATTAAACTATCGTCGAGTGCCCTAGCTTCGTTCCTGTCCTTCGTTCGTCACCATCTTTGTTTTTAACATAGTCTCGCGAGATTTTGCAAGTGGGCGTTACTGACCGTGGGAAAATATTTTACGCACATAGTATTATCTGTCAAATGAAACTGGAGATAAAAAATGCGAAAAAAACAGGTTATTATCAGATTTTATTATCATAAAGTATTAAATTTGATAAAATTTTACCTTTTTTACAGTGTGTTTATAAATAAACTCCATATTTTATAACAAAAAGCCAACTTTTAAACGGAGTTTCCCTCCGTCTGCTTTTGTAAATATTTATGAATGAATGTCACGTGACTTCCTACTCCAGATAATATATTCCAAGGCCAAGTAAAAAAGTATCCAGTTTTTCAAAAAAAAATTGTTTCTTGTCCTCTTTGATCTAATTTTCTCTTCTTTTTTTTTATCAGAAACATCCTCAAAGAATTCGTCAGAAATACAGGCATTACTCTGATAAATCACTTGATAATGCATACAAACAAGTAAAACACCATGGCATGTCTGTTAAAAAAGCAGCCAGAATTTATG